AGCGACCACCTGTCCAACGCGACCAGCGACCACCCTATTGTAGACCTATTCACACTTTAACCTTTGTATAACTTCCACCAACATTTCCATCAGATTGTCTCAGCAAAAAGACAATAGCTTCTTGTGAATCACTAACAGGAAAGTGGCCACATGTTACGTTCAGATTACCGAGTATGCAATCTTTAGGGTTAATAGACGGGGTTGACCATCGCAACTTGGTTTGTGAAGTTGCAAAAAAGTAAAAAAAAAAGTTGAATATCATCTGAATGTAACGTCTGGAGACTGGAAAGATTTTAACAACAAATTAAAACAGTTTCATTCAAAGTTTGAAATGAAAAAACTAGCTTGTTTCCGATCGGTACTATACTATCGAACCCCAGCCGGCCAGCGGCAATTCTGTGGACTGTCTCGCACATGGACAGCAAATTCCTCTCATCTCGAAAACAAAGAAAAATGAACCAGTTTCATTAAAAGAGAGATGTTTTATTTATCTTGTCGACATGAAATATCCAAACAAAGTAATAAAACATTCGTTTATTTCGTTTTCATCGCGGGATTGCAAAATCCGACCTATTTTGGCTGCCATGTTGTTTGTTGTTGATTGTTATAAATTATGCTAATGAAGCTAGTGCATGAGCAAATCGTATTGTTACTGAGGGGTCATCTCAGGGTTATTCTCAACGAAAGGTGTTTTTTATTTTGATCCTATTTTTTTTATAAAAGGTGATATTAATAATTCGCAATCGAGAAAATTCGTTTCGTTTTGGCAGTTTTGACACGTGGATGCTTGCAACAAATAACTGTAAAATTGCGTGTATCAAAGAATGTCGCTATATACATAAAGACAATAAAACATGTCAGAGTGAAGGTGTGGAATACAATGTGTTCATTCACACAATTCTTGGACAAGATTTATTTGTGGCTTCTGATAATACAGAAGCATTTAAATTTGATTGTGAGAAAACAAAACAGGAGGGCAGATGGGCATCAATGCACCATGTATTGGCAATGGCAACAGTGCTTGGGAAACCCATCTTTTCGTTATTTCCAGATGTTGAAAATTATTTCAGAGTGTTGTTTCATAGAGAAGTTAAATCGGTTCGCAAAGCCCCATCCTTCAGGATGGCTAATCCCCCGAAATGTCCAATCATGATCTTATGGTCAAGATGTGGCTCTTTTGATCACAGTGCTGTATTTTATGAACCAAATCATGTTGTACCTGTGTTAACCGAATGTACCCCAAATTATGAGACTCATCGCAAAAAAACAAGGCAAAAACGTACACTGCATGATTTTTTTTCAATTCTTCTGGAGAATCTGGTAACAAAAACATAAAAGAAAAATCTAGAAAGATGCTTTCCCTCAGCTCATCCTCCAGTGATCCAAAGGTAGAAAGTTGTACCCCTGATACTTGTAGTATTAATTTAGGTTCTCCTACAGATGATGTAATTAGGGAAGCCCTCTTTTCAATGACGCTATTGGTAACGTTAAAATTGATAAACCTGATGATTCTGGAGGAGAGGTTAACACTGAGGCTGCAAGTAAATCAATCAGAGCAATTAAATCATCTTGGTTCTCAGAGTTCAAATGGCTAAAACATGACAGTGAAAGCAATTTATTTCATTGCCAAGTATGTATTGATGCTAAACAAAACAATGTATTCACCCAGGGGAAATCCACAAAAGTTCCCAAGAAAGATGATTTTTTGAAACATCAAAAAAGTAGGGTTCATTTGGCAGCCGTAGATTCTGTACAACGAAAGGAACTTAAAAAAGCAACTCTGAAAGCTGTTGCTGGCAGTAAGGGAGCAATCATTGGTCAAATGGCAACTCTCTTTACTCAAGCAAAAGAATGCATTCCTACATCCAAAAATAAACCACTTATTGCACTGCAGGTACATAATGGGGTACAGCCACTAAAATTATTATGCACTGATAAGGGCAAGATATATTACCAACATTCTGATTCAATAAATGATTTTTATGGAGTAATGTGATGTTGTAAACGAGGAAAAGGAACAGGATGTGGCAGCTAGTCCATACAAGGTATATGGCATAGAATTTGATGAGGGAACCGATGTTGCTAATCTTTCCATTGTCATTTGTTTTCTGCGATATATTTGTAACACTGGTTTGGTTAAAACTCGTTTTCTGCAGGACTTGAACTTGAATGTACTGATGCAGTACATATATATGATAGGGTGAACAATGATGCTGTTCAACCAGTAAGTAACACTGGAATGAAAATGGTTGGATTAGCAACAGATGGGGCCAGTGTTATGACTGGTGTGCATACAGGTGTTGCCACTCGTTTCAAAAAAGAAAATCCTTTAAGCTTATCACTGTTCACTGTATGGCTCACCGCCTCCAACTAGCAACTCAAAAAGCTGCACAAAAAGTTCCTTACCTTGTCAAATATCTTTCAATACTGAATCAGTTTGCTAAAAGTCTAAAATACTCTCCTAAACTTAACAGGAGTCTTAAAGAGTGCAAAATTTTGAGAGAAGAAAACGCTAGAAAAATCAAACAAGTATTTTTTACAAGTGGCTGTCCTTAAATGACAGCATTCTAGCGCTATGTGATTGTTTGGGATCTGTGATTAGTTCACTTGCTGCATGAAGTATGGAAAGAGGTATGGAAGGGAAAGCAATGTTGCAGGGTGTGATGAACCAAATGAGAGTTGTTAGGTTTCTTCTTAGACACTTTTTAGTAGATGTTTTTGGTATTTTATCAACCTTGTCATTAGTAATGCAAAAACAAGATGTTCAATTTTTAACAATAAAGTCGCACATTGATGGTGCATGTGCAGCAATTAAATCTTTGAGCACATTACCTGGTAACAAATTAAAATCTGTGTTGCAAGATATCCCAAAAGAACCAGACAACAGTGGCTACTTTGAATGTAAGGATCACCATTACAAAGATTCAATTAAAAAAAGAGCAGTTTTCCAAGAAGCATCCCAGCAGTATTTAGAGGCACTCATTGACAGGTTGGAAATTGCTTTTCCAGATCACATGATTTTATCATCATTCTCTGTTCGTTTGCCAGTGCATTGGATGGATGCAAATGAACAAAGTGACAAGCTACTAAAACTATTAAACCATTTTGATAAAGATGTATCAAAGGAACAAGCACTTCAGGAATGGGAGTTATTAAAACATATCATAGGAAGTTATCCTGAACTCAATATGGAAGGATTCATTGCAAATTTTCTAAATGAATCTAGAACAACATTTCCCAACTTGTCAATGCTTGCTGCAATTGGATTGTGCATCCCTGTCACTTCAGTATGTTGTGAGAGGGGCATATCCATTTATAACAGTATTAAAACTGATGGACACAACTCCCTTAAAGTTGAAAATGCAAACATGCTCATGAAGTTAAATTTGGAGGCATATAATATATCTGAATTCAAATTTGAAGCAGCATTTGAAAAATGGGCTACAAAGAAAACAAGACGTACAATCCATCTGAATAAATAGATGCCCTGTATATTTCTGCCAATATTTTCTGGTTTTCACTAAAAGTTACTGTGTTTTACTGTTAAATATACTGTTGGTAATATTTTTTATTCTTATAGGATGGCATGGTGTTGCTAGTGATTGTAACTGATTATAAAACTTAAAGTTAAGCAATGTGTTACTGTAACATAAGAATGTGTAGTAGCCAATATCACTGTATTTCCTACATGCATCAGTATTGATCTTAAATAAATTGCGTTTAAAAAGTTAAGTAAAAAATGTGTGAAATTTTGTTTTACATCCACTGTGTAACCACAATATAATTACAGTTTATGCTTCTTTATCGCAAGTACAACTGTACACTGTTCCGGTGATTGTTAAAACTGTACATAATATAATATGCTCTTTAAATCAATTTTTTCGGCTACTAATTAATTTCTTCTATTTACCAAAATGGCTAAAACGTTTAGCATTTGGCTAAAGAAAACACTGAGGCATTAGCCAAAATGGCTAAGACAGAATCTGGCTTAGTGGAAGCGCAGTCTATCATATATATATTTATTCATTCATTACAAATTAATAGTATGATGTACAGTTACTTTTCGCCCTATAATTTATTCAATTTTTTTTTGAACGGGGAACAGACTTTTTTTTCCCCTATACCTATTTCAAATTATATTTTGTACAATACTCTTAGATTTATATGTGTAACAAATAAATGAAATGAACACATGTACAAATTTAAATATCAACAATAAATAAATAAATAAACATATTCACACTCATGTCAATAGTTCTCATCTTTCTTCATCAAACAACGAATGACACCAACACGAGTTACATACACAGTAACTTGTTTGGGTTGATCACATTCAACTTGAGTGGAAAAAACGGCAGAGAATCCTCGCAATAGGGGGTAGGATGTTCTCAATATATGTCTGAAATAGGGGGTGTTTTTTTCTTCTGCTCTAGGGGTACTAAATTTACATTCCGTCTGCAAAAGGGAGCATGGCTTGCCAATCTGCTGCCAGCCCTAGGGGCCTATTATTTTTTTAGCAAGAACGTACTCCCCCGGGAGTCTAGTCCAGTGCTAGTTGTAAACTTGTGTGTACATTTGGTATGCACTGAGGTGAGGTGAGGTAAAGGGGGTCAGGGTAACATTAGTTGGAGCATTATAGACAGAGTATAAATGCAGTTCCCAGTGGCAAACTATGGGTAAGGAATGAAGGAATGCAAGTCTTGTGCAATAATCTTTAGCGTTTTAGTGGACGATGCGTCGAATTCACAGCGATTGAGTTTCACAAGTTGTTGTTTTATAGACGAGTTGCAATGAATAACCGAAAACAAACTAACAATAAATATAATATTGATCGATTTATTTGGATTTTCAGCCCTTTTCATTTTTAGTTTCGCAATGCAAACTTCCCATATTTCTCAAAATCAACGGCAACCTAGAGCTCGTAAAAACTGAAGAAAACCACGTACGTCCATGATCAAACCCAGAAACACTTGGATATATTGTATTAAAAAACAGCCTACCTTTATGGGAGTCAGAATTCAATAACCCAATCCATATGTTTGCCACGCACTGGTCCCATAAAACTGTTTTGTTTTTTAATAGAGCGCGCATCAGATGTCGTTCGGTCAGATCTCGTGGTTGGCGGACCGACGCGGCAGGGCTTAGACTGATTGATGCCGTTGGTGGCGTGCTTGGAGAATGATGAAAGACGAGATCTTGATCACGCCTGCCATTACAGGGCTCATACCACTAATTGAATTTCCATAGACGACAATGTTAACATATGACGAGATTGCTATATGAAAATGACGAAGAAAGTTGAAAATATGGCTCAAAAATGGGAAATCAACATGCCAGTAATCAACCATATGAAAAAAACTAACATGTTGGCCAGCTGAAACTCTTGCAAATCTCAGGTAAACAAGACACACCTACTGTATTTGGATTGCACCAAGAGAAATCACTGGAAAAACACCAAGATTAGAACATCCATTAACACACAGAATAAACCCACAGGTACACAGCCGCTAAGTAGTAAACAAAAGACCACATGTTGGTCTCACCTCTGACCCAGGTGATTACGCCCTCAAACAGGGAGCACCTGAGAAAAATAATATTTAAAAAATTTCATTGGTTCTTGCTGGGCATTTAAATTGAGGGCTATGAGCAGCCATTGGTTAATTAGTGGCATGAGACCTACAGCGAGTGCAAGATATTTACATACACCTAACTGCCGCACCTGGTCAATTCACTTTTCTATGCAGATGATCTGGCCCTGATATCAACAACAAATGACAGTCCGCAAAAGTCTCTAAATATTTTGAATGATTAATGGTAACTGGAAAATAATTTAAACAAAAAAAAAATAAATTTCATTAATTATTAAACACTGGAGAGATTTTCTACTTTCTTCAATTCATATACATATCAGGTAGTAACAACAGACAAATGGTAAATTCAAGGACGGAAAAATATGGCAGATAAAGCACTTTATATGCTATGTCAAAATACTTGCCAAAAGAAACTCACTCCAAAACAGTTATCCATATTTTCAAGACATGTGTAAAACTCGTCTTATTATATGGTGCAGAAATTTGGGGAATGGAAATTTTAGATAACAATAATTGGGATAAAACATCAACAGAAAAAGTTGCAAACAACTATTGAATCTAAACAAATGTTCCACAAATATTGCATGTAGAGCAGAGCTGGGGGAATTTTCGTTACTTGTTGATATTAAAATAAATCTTATTAATTACTGGTCCAAAATTTAGGTTCTCCAAAAAAAAAAAAAAAATTAAAGAACAGATGAGGTCAAACTTATCATGGGGTATTTTAATTCAGAAATTAAACAAATCTGTAATGTGAGAGAATTTAACACAGGACTGAAAACAAGAAAGGGATTACATTGAATTCTGGAAAGAATGCCTTGAAGTTAAAGAAAAGACAAAGCATATGACATATGCAATGTTTAAATTTACTTATACTTATGAACCATATTTATCTGTACTTCCCCTCAAAGAAAGATTC